ATAGCAGTAATATTGTCAGAGTATTTTTATAATTTGTAGCATCATAATTACTTTTTTTTGTCCCACTACACACTACCACACTAGCTATTACGCTAACTCAAACAAATTGAAGAATGTTCATTTCCAAAAAACTTTATGAAATAAAGACAATGTTCTTCGACACCAGAAATGTAGGTATGCAGAAGATATCTAACCACACACTCCCAATTAGCCTAACTCCTAATTTCTGGTATCGAAGAACATTGACTGACTTCATTGGTAGGATCTTCTAAAAATTATTATTTTTTTAAATTTGTTTGGATTAATACGTTTAAAATAGAGTAAAAAATGTAACAGCTGATAACAAAATATGTATATGTTTTCTGACACAATTACTTTTAATCAATTTTTCATATCTTAAATCTTTATGTTTGCATTAGTCCTTAGAATATTACTTTACACATCATTCAGAAATTTATTTCAGGGTCAAATGTCTTATTCAGACTGCCAGCCTTTCCGTTTGACAATTTTGTCCCGCAGCCAGTACAAATTTACCACCTTTCTTTCCTAGTTTACACGATTTGTTTGATTAAACCATCAAATTCAGCAACAAAGCCTTCTTTCACTTATCTCGCTCCCATTCCCCTTCTAAATCCGGGCTCAATCTCCCGCTTGAAAGGGCCCTGGCTGAACACGTGAAAGCTGACTATCACTGCCAGTGTTTCTTGAGACGAGATTCACATAGAGCGGGACAAAGCCGGTGTAACTGAGGAACGGCGAACAAATGAACAAAACGGGCGATTTCTTTGGTCTTTAATCAACGGTTGGATCTTCGAGCAAATAACTGTTAACTAGAGTACATTGTGTGAGGAATATTTTGATAAATGTGGAGCTTTTATGAAGATAATGGTTAGGTACCTCTTATCTACCTTCCCAGGATAGGAGTTCCGCAGTTCTTAGATGTGAGAAAGTTGTCTCGAGTTAACTTATTTGCCGCTTTTGTTGAAGAAAAATATGAAAGAAAACAGACGCATTAATGTGGCAATCATAGCTAGCAATGGTCCCACGTGATCAGATTTGTTCTGACGCTCGGGATATTTGATTTTCTTAAGTTGATGTTTCGAAACGTTCGTAATTTTTCGGTTTCTAGGTTACGGAAATCCTACACAAGAATCTACTATGAATTTTTTTTAAATTCCATCTTTACAATGCTTTTATATCTATCACTATTTGGTTATAATTATTAACTACTAACTGACAGAAAATGCGAAGAAATAGTATAAACAAATCTTGTAAGAAAAGCAGTTTTACTAAACTTGTTTAATATACAGGGTGTCTCATAATTAGCTGCCAACCCTGAACAGGCCGATTCTATGATCAAAACTAAGTAAAAAAGTTCATATGAACATGGGTCCGGAAATGCTTCCTAAGGGCACAGGGACCCNATTCTTATTCACACATAAAAATTGTCTAAGCCAATATACAGGGTGTTGGATGACGTACTGAACAAACTTAAAGGCTGAGGTCATTCTGAATAAAAAAGTTATGGGTTCAATTCTCCATGGCTACCGACCTTTAAACTTTAGAAATAATGTATCAATGCATCAATCTCGCTAGCTATATTAACATAACATATTACTTAGTTGACAAAACTGGTGATAGTTGACATATCAAAATTTATTAACGTCAGTTTATGTAGTAAACTGTGTGAACGTGTTTCTAGTAATACCTTTTCTGTAACTCGCGTGTGCTGTTTTCAAACGAAGAGTACCTATGTCGACTAGATTCCATTAAATTTATGGATTTTGTGATGAAAAATCGTGAGCTGCCCTTAGAAAGTATCAACGACGATTTCCAAACAGAACAGTGACAAATCGTCAAACATTTGATTCTGTGTTTCAACATCTGCGAACACATGGTTCATTTCCAACAATGTCAACTAACTATGAACATCCTGAGTAGCAAAATTTAATTGGGCAAGAACACATTTTGCAGATAATTAAAGACAGTCCAGACTTTAAGTACCAGGAGAATTTCAGCACGTACGAATGTTCCTCATTGGAGAGTATGGCGAACATTACATATAGTCCAACTAAATTACACTTGGAGAAAAAAAAAATGTTACCTGGACTTTTATGAGTGGAAATGGTAAAAGGGCTTATAATAAACCTAAAAAAAAAAGTTGTAGATCATGCAAAAGTCTACAACTTTGACAGCGGTCACTTTTTAACATAACCTCAAAATTTCCGAGAAAAATGAGAAAAACAGTTTTTTTTCTTATTTTTCGTTTTTTATTTCTCATTTCTGCAAAAATAATTTAATTTTGACGAAATTTGGTGAAAGTATACTTATACGTATACTCTGTCTTAAATAACCTCAATTTTTGTTAGATAAAAAAAATCAAGAAGTTTCTGAGATATTCAATTTTTTCGGCCTGAAACACTTTTTTTCAAAGATAAATTCTACTTAAAAAAATCATCGTACAGAGTTCTGCCGGTAATCACTTTTTACGTTTTGACATATACTTTTTGGTGAAATAAAAAAATTTGTAATCACAGTTCAAAAACATGCCCAACAATGCAAAAAAGTAAAATATGATTTGTAGCAATTAATTTTTCAGTAATTGTTGATAATTTGTTTAAATTTAAAAAAAAATCAAAAACTTATTACACCATTCAATTGTACGGAAAAAATACAAAAAAAAACTGTCTCATTGTTTCACCCAAAACTATTTTTGTACAGTATTTGCTATAAACAGTCGAATAGTGAATAAATAAAATAAATAAAACTATTTTTCCGTAGGATCGATTAGTGTACTTATTTTTTTGATGAATTCATAGATAGACATTAGGAGCTAGGAAACGGTATACGGGGTGGCTCAGATTAGAAAAAAGTTGTGTTTTTTTAATACCTAACAACATGCTGTTAAGAAAGTTTTAAAATTCCGGGTAGTTCCGGAGATATCCGGAAAATCGCGAAATTTTGCAAAATTGTTTAATTTTTTCTAGCTTTATTTGAAAACGAATTTTAAAATAAATTACATATTTACAATGCCACTTTTTTCGCTCTATACAATGGAGTCAACATTTTTGCAATTCGACGTTTCGTCTTCGAGGGGCCATCATTGAGTTAATTTTTTTAAATACGTCGCTGCTATTTTTATGACAAAATCTAAAGTCATTTTTAATTCTGAATTAGAGGATGTTACTATTGTAATTGCTTAAAAAATTTTCAGCTTGGTTTAGCTATAATTTAAAATTTTTCCTGAGTACGGCTCTGAACGCTTATTAATAGTCAATACTGCACAAAATATCCAACAATTTTTTACCTCTATTAACAATACTAATTAGAAATAATAAAATATTTCATAAATTCGTATTATTTTTTTGTTAGGTACAACTTTTTAAATTATGGATTAAAAAATATATTGGATATTTTGTGCTGTATTGACTTTTATTCTCTCCTCTCTCTCGCCTCCAATAGATACAGCTATTTTGAAAGCGTTCAGCGCCGTACTCAGGAAAAATATTTAATGATGGCTTTTTAAGCGATTACAGTAGTAATGTCATCTAATACAGTATTAAAAATGACTAGATTTTGTCATAAAAATAGCAGCGACATGTTTAAAAAAATTAATCTGATGATGGTCCCTCGAAGACGAAACGTCGGATTGCAAAAATGTTGCTGCCATTGGATAGAGAGAAAAAAGTGGCAATGTTAATATGCACTTGCGTCAACAGAAGACTGCAGTTAGTACTTTGTATTGCTGAAATCTCAAATCGTCCAGAGATAATTTATTATTTGAGCATTTGTAATTCGACTTAGATGATTATAGCAATAATGTACAAAAATAAAGTTTTGGGTCAAACAATGAGACACAGTTTTTTCTTTATTTTTTTTTCCGTACAATTAAATGGTGTTATCTGTTTTTGAATGTTTTTTAATTTAAACAAATTATCAACAATAACTGAAAAATTTATTGTTGCAAGTCGTTCTTTATTTTCTTTGCATTTTTGAGTATGTTTTTGAACTGTTATTACAGCTTTTTTATTTCACCAAAAAGTATATGTTAAAACGAAAAAAATTATTACCGGCAGAACTCTCTACGATGATTTTTTTAAGTAGAATTTTTCTTTGAAAAAAAAGTGTTTCAGGCCGAAAAAAATGAATATCTCAGAAACTTCTTGATTTTTTTACCCAAACAAATTTGAGGTTATTTAAGACAGAGAAAGGTATACTTTCACCGAGTTTCCTCAAAATTAAATTATTTTTGCGGAAATGAGAAATAAAAAACGAAAAATCAGAAAAAAACTGTTTTTTGCATTTTTCTCGGAAATTTTGAGGTTATGTTACAAAGTGACCTCTACAAAAGTTATAGATTTTTGTATGATTTACAACTTTTGTATTGGATATTTTTTTGTTTGACGTCAACTTTCGCCAGAAATCCCAATGATACAGATTTTCATAACTTTTCAACCCCCCAAATCAACCCTCCGCCGCTCCTGCTCACGCATTTATTTTTTTTAGGTTTATTATAAGCCCTTTTACCATTTCCACTTATAAAAGTCCAGGTAACATTTTTTTTTTCTCCAAGTGTAATTTGGTTGGACTATAAAAGCTCGGTAAAGTTACGTTACTGAGCTCTTATGTCTCTGTAAAGAGCTCTCCCCTCATTTCCGAGCTAAAAAGTGATCAGAGGCATTTTCTAGAGCGACATCCAAAAAATATGAACACATCCAAAGTTCGCACCTTATAACGGACTGTGTTTCAATGTAGATATTTTTATTTTAATATTCCAGGTATCGAATAGCGTGTCGTATAATAAAGTTTTGTAAAATTTATTGCGTTTCTATTATTTTCCACTCCGATTTAAACTGCAAAACGCCGCTCACGATTGCAGGCGTCGTTTTAGCCAACGATTGATTCTGTCTGGCTTTCATCCATTTCCTGCACTTTAAAAACTATCTACATTATGACGCATCTGTCTTTCTCTGGGACATTTTAATGGTTTTATAACTTACCTATCAATGCTAATGCACACTAGGATGAAGCTGGATAAATACAGTCCAAAGGTCCTGAAAAAAGACATTATCCTACACATGGGGTCCCCCGCTCGCCATTGCACTGTGGCTGACCACGCGATCTCGAGGGGCATCATCAGGAATGTAACCTGAAATTGGAGAACATAAAATTATTACATATTATTATATTAAGAAAAGAAGATAATTTTTTTGAGAAAGGATAAGAATAAGACATACCAAACGACAGTTCTCTGACATACACTCACTGTTTTGCTTTGGCGAATGGAAAGATTTCGAATAATTACGCGCTAAATCCCTCTACATACTTTTAAAGTGCATATGGGGGAAGGCAGTTTTATTTGAGAACAATTTTTCCATGTTAATGAAAATTCTCTAATTTATAAGCAGAATTTAAATACGAAACTCTCTAAACGTTTCAAGATTGAGTACTATCAACAAAAGCATCAGTAAAAGTTGTAGGAAATTACGAATCGAGTAAATGACCTTGGATTTGACCTTGGCATTAAGTTTCAAGGTCAGACCAAGGTCAAGTTGAAAATAATAAGTGGAACAGTATATTTTTTATGTTAGCAATCGATCGAGCACCAAATTTTACGCCTCAATGCGGGGACAGAAAGCTTTTCTATAAGCCCTTGTAGATCATTTGAAGGTCAACCTCATTTTTCTCTGAATAACTCGACAAAAATGTTTCAAGCCAAATTTTCAGTATTTTGAATGACAAAACGGTGGTCTTGGATTTGACCTTCATCACAAGTTGCAAGGTCAAACTAAGGTCAACTTAGTATGAAATGGAATACGCTTTTTATGCTTGCAACCTATGCAGGGTGAAAGTTTATATCAGAATCTGCAATCAAAGAATGTTTCTAGATTGTCCTTGTAGGTCATTGGAAGGTAAACATAATTAAACTCACTTTTAACAAGAAATGATAGATGTAAAGTAATACAGTTTGATATTCAACTAAAATTATTAGTATCCTACAAATTTTGCTGGAAACTTTCAGAGAAAAATTAGTCTGACCTTCATATAATCTACAAGGACATACAGGGACAGGAAACATTTCCTGATCCCGCATTGGGATACAAAACATAGATAGTGTTCCATTAAAGTTGACCTTGGTATGACCTTGAAATAAGGTCACTAGAATATTGGCTTCCTAATGTTCTACAATTTTTATCTGAAATGTTTTTGAGAGGATCTTGAAAAGTTATCAGGAGCGTTCGGGTTTTTGGGGGTAAGTATAATTGATGCAATATTAATATGAGAATTTACGTAAATAAATATTCTTCAGTTATGTATAATCTTCTTTAATTTTTGCGAACTTGTTACAAACACAATCCGCAGTAATTCTTTTCAACCCCCAGCCAGGGGTAAAAAAAGATAAACTATAGGGGTTTTTCAAGATAACTCAAAAGGGTTAAGAGCTAGAAAAAAAATAGAGCATAGAGCATAAAATTCTACATAAAAATGGTCTATTGACAAACAGAAAAATGAATTTTATAATTTTTTTTCAATCTTTCTTTTCAAAGAAATAGATATATTTTTTTTTAGTTTTTAGTAAAAAAGTTATAACAATTTCAATTTTGTAATCGTTAATTTTTATAATTTAACACTAAAACAATTTTTTTCTATGTCATTCGATTGATTATTTAAAATAATGAAAAGTTGCTTTCGAAATTTTGTTTTACGACAAAGACAAAAAATCACGTTCGCTTTGTGAAATTGTTAAAACTTTTTTATTAAAAATTTAAAAATATATCAATTTCTCTGAAAAGATAGTTTTCATTTTTTAGAGTAGATTGAAAAAAATATATAAAATTTATTCATTTTTCTTTCTGCAAAAGTCAGTAGACCATTTTTATGTAGAATTTTATGCTCTACAACTTTTTTTTCTAACTCTTACCTCTTTTGAATTATTTTGAAAAACCCTTTATTTTATAAAAATTACTGTCAAAATTCGGGCAAGTTGACCAAAATTGCGATTTAATTGGACTATATTTTGCCGAAGGTAAGTAAATTGCTTAATAATCTTTTTAAATGTGACATAAAGCATCTAAATAAATCATATATTATTACAACGCAAATATTATGTGTTAAGCTTAAACATAACCTTTGTGGAAATATTCCAATGCATACAAATATTTTATATTTTTTCAAGTTGGTCTTTTTTTTATTCAGCCATTGAATTAATTAATTTTAACAACGTTTAACTACAAGCAACATTTTTTAAAAGCAAATCGAATGCTGTTTCAAAATAACTAATCATTTCCAAAAATCTCTATTCTTAATAAACATCTGACGGGAATAATATAGTGGCATAGGCGAATAGAACGCCCCGTATAATTAACGCAAAAAATTTTAGTACAATTACCCAAAAAAATTTATTAATTATCAAAAAAGGTGGAATAAAAAAGTACTTTTTCGGGCCTATAACTTTTTACGGAAACAATTCTATACTAAGGTAAGTTGACTTAAATTACCTTATTTTCGCCCTAGAATACTACCCTTAAAGTATCGTCCATTCCATAGTGAACACCGATTTAGTATAAAAAATATTAATGTGAAAGCAATCTTTAATGTAATAATTACCAATTTCTTTTTTGTTGTGCAACATGTCACGACCTATATGGGGAAAGAGTGTGTTTGTATCGCCTTCTATTGTAGTTTTATATTTCTCTCATGTGCTGTTCACTTTATTTTGTATAGCATATCACTTACGCAAACAACTTTGCTAGTAAAATATTTTCCATTTAAGATGCTATTGACATATTTTAAAAATAAACATCTTGCGGAGGTTTCCCCCTTAAAATGAGAAAGCCTACAGAATACGTATTGGAAAATATTTTAAAAATTGAAGTATTTGCAGTTCAACTTATCAGTTTTTCCGGCCAGGTCATGCAATGTGCCATTAAAATGCCGAGTACTATTCCTGTCACGTTCGAGTATCACAATTTAATACTTTTATAACTGAACGGGTCTGCTGTGTCGTGAAATATATCGCAACTTACGGAAAAAATACAAAGCGTGACTTGAAAAAAAATCAGGTCTCATGCTACTAGGTATTTCAGAATTATTAATTGTGATTCTATCAATTTTCCATCCACATTTTGCGATTCCATATCGCAATTTTTTCAATTTCCCGCCACCTCAGATTGTCATGTATTCTTGGTTGCCTATTTCCTATTACGAACGTATAAATGAATCTATTTTTAATCCAAGAACAAGATAAAAAATATCTAGTACTTAACGACCTAACGAGTAATTCATTTGTAAATATATACGAGCTTTTTCCATTAAAAATAAATTACTAAAATTGACTTTACTTTGTTGTCTAGGAACAGAAATATTGATCAGTTTCGTTTACGTTTATTAGAAACTTTATTAAATATGTTATATTGAAATACAAGTATTAACAATTCAGTTCCGTTGATCTGAATTCGATATCGCACCGGTAACAATCTATAGTAGTAGGATCATATTCGATGCAAAGTAATAAATCATTGCATGTCAAGGCAACCAATGAAGTACGCTTTTAAGGGTTTTACAAATTGAATAATTTCTTTATACATTATGAAGGTACGAGGGGATCAGCTCAGGTCTGGTACCCTTGTTGCTACAAAAATTCCTTTATTCTCATAAACTATTTATTTTAAATGTAATTTATTATAAATCCAATTTGTTTTCTAAATTCCACATATGTACTACATTTTACCTCTGTACGCGCCACTGTTGTTTACTTGTTTTTTGGAAGCGCTCTCTAATTGACGGCAAAGCTCGCCAGGTTAGTATTTGACGTATAACCGACCAGTTCGTACACTCGATGCACCTGGGCGACTACAGTTACTACCAGAACACGGTGCGTATGCAGCGGTATTTCAGATTTACCATTGAATTTCATTTTAAATTTTTTGCTCTACTTTGCATCGTATACGATCCTACTATAGGTATGAACGACCGACTAAACTATTTTTTGTAAAACTCATTAAAAATGACACTTATAATTCATTGATAAGTGAACAAAAAATTGACTTTTATAATGTTACGAGTTAAAAACACTTAAAATAAAATAAAATGCTATATACCAGTATTACCCATTCTTCTCAAGATAATAGCTGTATTGATAAATTTAGAAAGAATGTATTATTTAGAAACATTAATAATAATATTCCAACCCGAACAATAACTTATGTTAATTATCTGAGAAGTAATTGCTGGGGTACTCATTTTAACTGATTTGAATTGATTAGAAGTGCAACTTTTACTTCAAAGTGTTTTATGTAGTGACATGTTAGAATGAAAATGGAGTTTCAATTCCTGAGAAAAATCAGTTCCGTGAATTTTTCATAAAATTTCTTAGGTTTTCATTGTTTTACTGCCAAAACAATGGTCACGTGACTTACAGTTTTAAGTTCCTAAAGATGCAGATTGGTATTTCAATTTCTAATCCTAACAATGCATAAACATTAGAAACAATATCTGATAGGAGTAATTGTTGTTTTCTATATCTTAGTAGTAAGTTCCAAATATTTTGATGGTTCTGCATAATACCGTTAATTTATATTTCATAATAGAAGTTCTTCTTTATGAAAGAGATGAGTTATAACATCTGCAATTAGAAAATGAATTTTTAAACATCAAAGGAACATATATCTTTGAGAAAGACATAACCTTTTCAATTCAAAGTTTCCAAGTACTGAACGTAACATGAAACAAAATTTATCATTCTTCATTTACAAAACATCCCCTAAAAAATGTAGAGGAAAAAAAATGTTCTACTTTTCATTCTGCGTGTGTATATTTACTTCAACAAGACACGCCGCTTTACTGGGATGAAACAATAATTTCAAAACTTCCACTACCAACCAATTGTTATTCTACCCTCCTCGAATTCTATTTTACAGCCCACAGGAATAAAGACTGTTTGAAGGAAGCTTCTGGGAATTTATTTGACCGAATTCTGTTCTCTTTGTTCGTGCAGAGTGAGCAGAGAAGTGCATTGTTGCACATCGGTAGGAAAATATAAGGTGGGATTTCTTTTATGCTGCTCTCATCACGCTGTATCAAGTTTGTTTAGAGACGATCTAGGAAAATTGATACTTAAATAATGCCCGTCTTCTCGAGAGACAATTGTGAATAAAGAAGCCTTGCTTTGTTATTTTACGGTCGAGGAAAGCAATATAACCAGTAACTTAACCTTTGTGCTTTGCTCTTGAAATTGGAGAACATAATTTTATTCATAAATTCTAAATATATTCAACAATTGCCTGAATATTTAGTTCAAACTAACTGTTATTATTATTGTTTATCGTTTCATACACAAGTAATTATTATCAATTATATGCTTGTATATTATTTTACTAAAATTATACGTATGAGACTTCGCCAAGCTAATTGTCATAAGGTCTAATGAAATTCTGTGGATATTACATGTGAAACTGTAAAGGGAAGTTATCTGGAGACATGCAGACTATTTGAGTATTAAGTGATATTACTGAATTTACCAAAATCCCCGTTTCGCAAAATAATGAATAATACAGATTCCGGATAAGATCCTGGTTTAACTTTGGCGACTGTCTTTATTTTGTCGAAGTCGTCATATATTTTTAGACATTCAAGGTTATAATAGTTCGCGTAAAACTGAAAATTTGTACAAATTTTGGGAATACCATAATAAATGAAATATGAAAAGTCCCTATCGAACCCTCATTTGCAAAAAATTATTCAAGGTCAAAGCTCGGAAATATGGGTTTTCTGCATTTTTCAGCCAAACGGTAAGTAAGGAAAACAAGTGTAAGGACAATTGTTATCGATAATTGCATGATCTACAATTTTTGTAGGTCCTACTTTTATGTTAAAACTTACCGTTTGGCTGAAAAAACCCATATTTGCAAAGTTTGACCTTGAATAAATTTTTTTGCAGATGTGGGATTGATGGGGACTCTTCACATTTAATATATAATGGTATTGCCAACATTCATACCAATTTTCAGCTTTATGTGAATTATTGTAAGCTTACTCCTATTTTTTGAGCTACTCTGACCGGGTTATTTGGAACGAATCTGTATTATCTTAAGTATATTGATTGATAGAATTTCTTTTTGATGAATAAAAAAAATATGATCACTAAGTATTCGTTGCCAGTGTCAGAAGTTTGCATTGATTTGACTGTCAACACGGATAATAAAATCTAGTACGTTCTCTCTTAAAAAGTGCTGCATTTTCACTAAGGCAAAGACATGAGTTTATATTAAAATAATTACATCTACAATTATGCGGATGACTCGCATCAAATTCCAGGACTGGATTCTACTCAAATATTATGCGATTTTCATTTGTTTTCAAGTTATAGCGTCATTACAAATAATAAAAATCGAAGTCAGAGTATGTCATGTTCCAAGTTCAAAGGTAGGTATCATGTCAGCATCATTTTATGTTGCAATAGTTTAACATTTGATTACACCTTTGTACGATCAAAGTGTTATAAAATGCCAAGAACTTCTTAAAATTCAAAGTATTCAAATACGGTGTTTGTTTATGGTTTTTGTAAATGAAATGCTAATGCTACTCAACATTTGAGAAAATGTAAACAATGTAGGTGAAAAAAAAAACTCCCATTGATGATAGTCTGAACGTTTTGTTGGTAGCATCTATTCGACAATACCATAAAATTAGTTGTTTCTTAACTGTGATCCTTGCACATTTCAAAGTTGTTGCGGAAATCACATTTAACGTCTAGAGACAGCAATTGGACGTCCAGTCGATTCTCATAAGTTTTTAAAGGTGCTTTCGGCCATCGCCAAAATAGCTGCCAAATTACATATCTCGGCTCTCAATCACACGATTTCAATGACATTTGTTGTGGATGTCACATATAACTACTAGAGCGGTTTTCGGATAGCCGGATGTCCCGTCGACACTCAATTTTTTTTTAATTGTGGTTATAGGCCAACCTCAAAATCGCTGCCCTTGGCAATTATCTTGGCTCTCAGTCATACGATTTTAATGAAATTTCCAATGACGACATTCAGACGTCCGATTGACTCTCGACTTTTTTACATGGTTATGTGAAAAATGGTTTAGATGGAAGTTACTGGTCTCCAAGGGGCACATATTGTCGTGACCTTGAAGGTCGTTTTCAAGGTCATTTCAAGGTCAATTTAATTTTTCTTATTGGAAACCCTTATTTTCAACCCCAGATTCGGAAAGAGTGGAAAATTCTACGTTCAGATGATGTGCCATGTGTGGGGTCCATTTGACCCAGCAAGGTCAACGTGAAGGTCAATTTTTTTTACTGAATCTTTCCACCTAAATGACTGCAAAGTTAAGGTTTAACGAAAAATGTGTCAGATAAACTTTGAAGTGACATGTTTCGATAATCTTAACATTTGGCAATAAACAAATTTATAAGAAGTCTTTTGCAGAAATGGTGTACAGCAATGAAGAAGTACACGCTTATCTGACACATTTTTCGCTAAACCTTAACTTTGCGGGGTCATTTGAAAAGTTTCAGTATAAAAAAATTTGACCTTCACGTGACCTTGTAGGGTCAAATGGACTCCACACATGATACATCATCTGAACGTAGAATTTTCCGCTCTTTCCAAATCCGGGGTTAAAAATAAGGGTTTATAAAACTAAGTTGACCTTGAAAATGACCTTCAAGGACACATACAAGGTCACGACCCTTGGAGACCAGTAACTTTCATCGCAGCCACTTTTCACATAACCATGTACTTCAGATTTTAGAAGGGGTGGACTGGTGGTGTGAGACACTTTTTACCATAAATTTGCTGTGTCTTTGCATGTATAAATATTATTGTGTTGGCAACGTAAAAAAAAACGTTCTCAATGATTACTTACCAATAAATCAGCTATCGCCAGATGCATCAACATCGTATTTATCCTCGAAGGAGTCTTTCTACGTCTTTTCACTAACAAAACTAACACTGTGATATTGGCTATAGCCGAGAACACCATGAGAATACTATACACTATTATAGAAAGTCTGTGGCCGTCGTTGAATCGCATGTTTATGGGTAGGTGGAGGGTGATGTTCGACTGGTTGTAGGTCTTGGCCCAGTACAGCAGGTTCCTGTGATCCTGCACGATCTCACTCGCCCCCACTGGGTCTTCCATCTCGGAGCTGGAGTTACCCGTTGAATTCCCTATCTTAGTATTTTCATTGTATCCAGGTTTCTGGAACAAAAAGTAAAATATATCACACTTTGTTTATAGTAGTAGTTGTTTAAGATGCAAGTGTAAAAAGGTATTCCTTGTTGCACTAAAGTCATGGTTGAAGACACAAGTGCAATCAAGATTTTTGGCATGAGTGCAACAAAGATTTTTTACATGTGTGTCTTACTTTGATCGTGGAAATTCTTGTAAGCAATAGTCAATACTGATGGCCAGTATATTAAAAAAAATTAAGTAATCATTAATAGACTCTGTCATAACGGGTAAGTACTAAGGAAAATTGTTGTTCTTAAAAGTTTAAATTAAAATATCAAATTAAAAATGTTTGACAGTTATTATAGTGACGTAAATAAAAAAGTAATGAAGCTGCTTATTCTTAATAGTATTTATTGTATAAGTGTTTTAATAGCATTTTATTCAAACAAAAAAAAGGAAATTAAAACACGAATGTACGTGCGTTTTATTTTATATGCATACTGGGTGCTATGGTACGTGGTTTATTATCAATTGTTTAATAAATAGTCCTAATTGAATTTGGTAAAAATGCAAGAAAGTAATTTTGTTCCTGTGGTTGTTTTTGAAGAAGCTCAAGAAGCAATTTTCCATTTATTGCCAGCGAAATCCATGGAACATTACGAAAATGTGTTCGCCGAACTTAAGAAATGGAGGGAAAAACGGATAGTAGTGACAATAAATGAAGAAAAGAAGTCATGCTATCGTATTCATTAAATTTGAAGAAACAATATGCAATTTCATCTATATGATCGAAGTATACGATGTTGAAGGTTACTATAAAGGTCCACAAAAATATAGATATTGAAAAATATAACAAGCTCACTGCTTATTTGAAGAGTGACTCGAGAGGATACAAAACAAAATGGACAAATTTGAAAACCTACTTGTTTCAATATCTGACACTAAGACGGGCATTTCAAGAAAATTTACAATTATAGAAGAATTTTGCGTGAATGCTGTTGAAATATGCAGAAAATATATTTCTCTGCGCCCAATTCGCCGAACACAAGACATATTCTTTTTAAGATACAACAATCAAAATTGTACTTCTCAGCCTGTTGGAATCAACACATTGGCAAAGATACCCTCAATAGTTGCTTCATTCCTGAATATAACAAATCCAGAAGCATACACTGGCCATTATATGACAAAAACGAAATGTCTATTACTATAAATGTAAATATTAATGTTAATAAGTACATAAATTAAATTTGATTTATTATAGGTTTATTATTTTTTCGTTATTCTATTAGTGAAATAGTTACTTTATTCCACCAGTGGATAAAGTATCACTTTAGACGATTCATATGTGTGGATAAAAGTCCGATTATTAGGTGAATGTGGATAAAATATTTTTTTATTTCATATTTGATATAGGACAACAAATCATACATAACTGTTGACATAAATGTTTATTATAACAATTTGGATGTTCTATTATTTACGCCTCATGCGTAGGTATATCTTTTATCGCTTGTTAAAGTACCTACAAAGATCACGAGCGTGTTTCAAGGGAACTTGATTAAAAACAATTATTGACAATTCAGTTACGTTAAAAAACGTTTTTGATAGGAAATTCATCTGCTTTTAAATTCGGTGTGTTTAATTTGAATAAAAAAAACTTCATTTGGGTTCACCTACAAAAGATTTGCATGTCTAGACCACTATAAAACTTTTTGGTTTAGCACTTTTGTAACGTTACCTTTAATCCATCTAGCACCCGTCAATTATATTTCTCTACAAGGATTTATGACCACTAACAAGGGGTTTCTATAAAATCTTCTTTTTACCTACGAAACATAACTGATCTTCTGTCATTTTTAGAGAAAGTTGTCGGTGGTGTTTGTGATAAAAAAAAGCCTTTATCACTACGTACATAAAAATGCATGGAATTATGTATGTACATATGAATAGTGAGAGAAATGTTACAGTTATAACTTCTTATCTCAAATAGGCTGTATCCCAAGATATTGTATCTACATTTCACCAGGATAATGGATCGTAAAACCGTTTCCCTACATTCATAAATATTATATTCGGGCTCGTATCGGTTGAGTTTTCGTATGCCTCGATTTATATATTGGACATTTTCTAAATCGTATCACATTTCGAGGGGAAAGCGACTGCATATATTCCTGTCGCCCCCAGAAGCAAGTGCAAACATGTTGTTAAAGGATCAACGTGCCTCGATTTCTTTTGAAAGACCGAATTCGGATATTCATAAACTGTGATACGTTGCTAAAATTCAATTTAGGAAGGTAGGGTGATAAGGCTGTAAATATAATATTTCTTTCAGAATGTTTGCTTTTTGCAACCAATAAAATTTGTGTCGAAAAATTTTATTTAAGTTACTGAAGTCTCAAGTGAATTCGAATTTCACACGCTTAAAACCTAAGGGTTAGGTTCTCTGTAGAATACCCTGAGCGGTAATGAAAATTTTTACCTATGTTTGGAATCGAAATTATCACCCATGTTCCGAATCCAACCGCCGCTATGTACAGAGCCGCAAACTGTTCAGTTCCAAGCCGCAGTCTCTGAGAATTGACGAAGCCACCATGACCGGGGATCGAACGTCGACTTTGGACTTCGCACTTCTGTAGCCAGAGCAGGAGTCTTTAGTCAGTGTATGTACATGCCTCGAATCAAGCGTATTCGTTTTAATTTTACCGAAACTGAATTGCCAATGTGAAGGAAATAAAACTATGTTATACTATGTTATATTATATAAAACTATGTTAACTTATAGGTTAACTGTAGCTTACAGAATTATAAAAATACGATACATGCGCAATCGAAATGTCCTTGAAATTATTCGCTGCCCAAATTGGTAATCCGTTTGTTGTTCGGTTCATTATTATTTTTGTTCGTAATAACGATCAGGTCTGTGCAAAGCTGTATAATCCAACATAATTGCTTCCAAAATTAATAAATCAGATGCCAGTCTCTGCAACAACAGCTTGATAGCGGGGACGTCCTTATCTGAAATGCTGTCCAAATGCATTTACGAGTTGTAAAAAATTGCAGAAAAGCTTTTAAAACCTCAAATGGCATTACCGAGGTTCTAGGAAGTACGTAATGTGGAGAACGCATATTGAAAATGTGTATGCGCTGAATTATGAGCATCTCAGTGGATTCGTCATACCACATTACTTTCATAATGCCTTCTGGTGTTATTTTTTATGTTTATTATGGCAATATTTTTAAAGAGATAGTTCAGTTTTATAGGAGATGGAGAGGAAGAAAAAAATGTCTAATATGAGGAAAGAATTGATATCAAACTGCTATACAAAAAGGTGGCGACTTAAATATAATTTCTGTAGATTTTACGATCAAAATTTTTTCTTCAACAGCTTCCGTTCTCGTACACAGTTATAAATACTAACAGGAGAGAAAATATACAGGGTGTGCCATTTAAAACTCCCGTTGCCAATATCTCCGAAATGAAGAAATATATTTTAGTTCCAGAATTTAGGGATGATAGGTTTGATGTACTTAAAAAAGTTCACATTTTAAAAATATTTTGAATTATACAGGATGATGCATTAGGGCGTAGCATCTTTATGGTGGTTTTTCTTAAATGGAACACTCTGTATATTTTTATAAATTTGTATTCTAGAGAAAATTCTCCTTCCAGCGATGTCTTCGTTTTTTCTATTCGATGCGGCGATGCCAAGTTATTTGAAAAAATAAAATAATTTTCGCTGGGACAGGGTTCTGTAAATCTATCCACTGTGCAGGTACTACCAGTAATTAAGAAAAAATATTTTGTAGGCATGCGGGCCAAAGATGTGGACCAACAACAAAATATCAAAATCTTTATAATTTTGTACAGGGTGTTCTACACATAAGCCCCAGTTTAGTGAATTTTGGAGGACATTTGCTCGATTTTTTTAAATGAAACACCCGGTATATTATTTTATGTTTTGATTATATATATATTAATTACCTACAACTTTTGTAATTAATATCATATGCCTAAAATCACTATTTTCGGAAATATTGGCACTTTTCTAGCGAAACTCCTTTAATTTTGCAAATTTTACTTTTTATTANTATTTTATGTTTTGATTATATATATATATTAATTACCTACAACTTTTGTAATTAATATCATATGCCTAAAATCACTATTTTCGGAAATATTGGCACTTTTCTAGCGAAACTCCTTTAATTTTGCAAATTTTACTTTTTATTACTCTAGTAGGCCATCAGTTTGACATAAAATAACAATATCTGCAAGTTTACTGTTGGCGTTTAATTGACAGTAGTGTAAACTGCTGGATTGTAAGTTTAAAAATACTTCAAAATAAACTTTTCTCAAGCAGAAATGATATGATATGATTTATGTATTGGGTGCAAGTGTTAAAAATACTTTATTATCAACACGAACTTATCATCAACGCTATCCACAGACAAGGCAGCCCAGTGTACGAACTTTTAAGAAAAGAAGGGATCGTTTTGACAATTCCGGTACTGCAGCTTATTGTAAAAATGATAGGAAAAAAAGGACAGTCACTGAAGAAAATGAATTAAACGTTCTTTTGGCTATCACTGAAGATCCTCATATTAGTCAACGAGAAATTTGTTTTCAAATAGGTATTGGAAGAACATCTGTTCAAAGAATATTAAAGGACAATAAAATGCATCCATACCATGTCCAATTATTGCAGGAATTAAGTGATGAAGATTGCAGAAGAGTTCTGCGAGTGGGTTCAAAACAAAATTAGAATAGAACGCGATTTTACAGATTTTGTCCTTTTTGGAGACGAGGGACCTTTCATAAGAATGGTAATGTCAACCGACATAATTTTCATTATTTTGCCACAGATAACCCGTATTTTGTGAGAATGCACTCATAAAATAGATGGAGTTTAAATTTAACGGAAGACTCTTTGATTTGGTTAGATAGTTAAATTGCCTATTTAGTTAGTACCTACCTATTTATATTTCCTTTCTTTTTATACGAAGTATTTAATTTGTTACTAACA